GTGACCTCCTACCTCACCCCCACAAGTGTGGGCACACAGAGAAGAAGGGGTCTTGAAAATCTTAACTGTTGAGCAATAGAATAAGGTGGAAGGAGACCTTTTACATATGCTGGTCCCATTTCGCTTAGGGTGACCAGCACTTTGAATTGGGCCCCAAAGAAAATAGGCTGCTGCATAAGATAGAACTGGGATAATGTGATCTGTATATTATTACCCAGGCACAGATAATAATCTAGCTGCAGCATTTATTTATTTTTAATAACATTTTATTAATAAATGCAAAGAAAAGTAGCAATTAACAAAACAGGTAAGTTGGAGTATACAGGAAAAGAGTGCTAGAGTTGCTAAAAAGAGTATTACATTTTCAAAGTTACAGTATCAGGTTACCTTTTATCAGATCAATGAGACATTCACATCTTACTATAGGTTTAAATCATTAACTGTAGTAGGGATTTCATCTTACTATAGATTTAAGTCATTAACTGTAGTAGGGATTCCCTGATCCATTAAATAATTCACAATAGGGAACCAAATCATAGCATGATCTAAAGAAGATTTGTATACATCTCTTCCATCTACATTTTCTGTTATTTTTGACATTATATAGAACTTCCAAAGTTTAGCATGCCAATGATGTTGTTGAGGACTTTTAGTGTCTTTCCAAAATAAGGCTACTGCATTTTTGGCTGCTGCCAACAAAATGGCTATTCTTTTCATAGTACTACTAGATTGTATATGCATTTGCCATCTATTTAATAGTATATGTTCCACTGTGCATTGTAATTCATAACCAGTTATATTTTTAACCTGAGTTATTATTTCTTTCCAAAACTAGCTGCAGCATTTTTCAATAACTGGAGCTCCTGAACCATTTTCAAGGGCATGGAAGTGACTGAATCTTATCTCTAGCCTCCCTCACCATGCATATAAAAAGGGCACTGTTTTTAAGCTATACAGGGTGTGAAGAAATGCTATTTTAGAGTAGAGCTCTGACCTGAGTAAGACCTTTACCAGGTGTTTTAAAAGTTTTTCTCTCTGGACAGGGAACAGGCAGGGAGGGGGAAGTCAGTTCAACAGTTTTCCAGCCTCACCTCAGCTACCTCTTAAGAAATGCTAATAGGTCCAGCTAGAGTCAACAGGAAAATCCAGCCCCCCCCCCCCCGCAGGAAACAGAGATTTGGAGGTATTAAAGACTAGAAGGAATTCAGGAAGAAACTTCTGAAGACCTTAGGAAAAACTTCTTTGACCCAGCCTGACCTTGTCAGTGGGTGGAGAAATAGATATGATAAAACTCCTTGCAGCAAGGAGGAGGTCTCTTGTGCTGAGTTCATCAGAGCAGACAGAACTCTTAACTGAGGTCTGGAGGAGGCAGCCATTGCCATATGCTGGCCTGGATGGCTGAAGGAAGCTGCAAGGTAATGGAGATTCTGTAGAGATCTATAATATTCTAAACTAAGGAGTCTGTACTGTATTTTACAATCTGATAGGGCATGTATAGAGAGAGTTACAATTGAGTTTTACCAATTTCTTTTGCATCCCTTGCTCAGTCAGATGCTGTGCAAAGATTATGTTTGTAAACATTTTCTTTTAAATAAATACTTTATAACTTTTGATGCTGGTAGTAGTTTTCTGTACCACATAGACCTACACTGTCCTGGACAGGGTATTTTAAAAGGAGCACCAGGGGGGAAGGCAGTCAGTTGGCAAGCGGCTATTTCCCCAGTGGTGCACAAGGCAGTAAATGGTCCTCATGGGCAGTGGGAGACACAGAGGCAAGGACTCAGAACTCGGATGGGAAGCTGGGAGTCTTGACCCTCCCAGTGGGCAATTCCTACAAAGGTCAGGTGGTGGTGGCGGGTTACCGGAGAGAGAGAAATGTCTCTCCTGGTGCTCGGAAAACCTTGGAGGGCAGGGTGGAGTAGGACTGTTCCACCACAAAGGGCATGAGTTTTTAAGCTGTACAGGGCTTGTCATTTCCAGATGCAGATTCTAAATTTCATTGATGCTACTTCCTGCCACTGTCTTAAGAACTGGGAACTAACCAGATTATTTAATGGCAAAAATGTGATATTTCTGTACAGTTTTGAAGAATGCAGCTGAGTACTGTTACATAAATTGAGAAATGCCTTGAAGTGGAAAAAATCCATTAGTTAGGAATGTCAGGTCTACATTTGAGTTTTACTGATAGCCTTGCATAAGTCACTTTATCCTCATTCTTCCCATACCCCAAATCTATATACCAGATATAAATAAGTTACACTGAACAATGCCATATAGATCTTAGGGATTGGTAAGTGCTGGCTAGCTGCTTCTGTGTGTGTCTGTGTCTGTGTGTGTGTAAGCCTAAAAAGCTTTGGGGATAGTGGTTGTATCCAACAAGATCCACTCACAGAATGGAATGCGAAACAGAACCGTTTCTCTGTCCCCCTGAGCTGCCCCCAAATTTTGTCAATGGACCCTATGGGGAGGATACAGGAGGCAAAGTGAGGATCTAGAGTGGGAAAAAGGAATCAGCAAAATTCACTGTGCCTCTTAGAAATGCCATTCTATCTTCAGAACTGTGTGGATGGATACCAGCTGGAGTTTCAAAATAATTCAACACAAATGGTTTTGTCTAGCTTTAACTCTTCTGTGATGGTTGCCACAAGCTAATACTGACAGTAGCTCCAGAATGCCCTTCATTGTGTTGGATGATGTGTGTGTGAGTGAACCACCACCATGCACAAAGAGAGACTCCACCCCCTGCAGGGTCTTCATCTTTGGACCAACTGCTCTCAGGAATGCAGGGCTAGTTTTGCATACACTATAATAGCGTCCTCAGGCATTCCATAGGAATAAATAGAGGCAAAACATGCTTGTTGTCCCTGGTGATCCTAATATCTTAATTTTCCCCCAGTTCGCATTTCTCCCATCACTCTAGAGTGATATGGATCTACAGGACCAGCTTTTAGAGAGAAAGAGAGAATTGTAGCACAATTCAATTGAGCCTGCTCACATGACCTAATTTGACCCTCTGTTCTCTAGGAAGAAATTGAACTAGGGGAGAGAAGGGCAGCAGAGCTCACCCGCTTGACTGGACTCTTTATTCTCAGAAGAACCCAAGGGACTATCGACAAATTTCTCCCTCCTAAAGAGGAGAGCATCCTTTTCTGCCGTCCAACAGCACTGCAGCTTGAGCTCTATCGAAGGCTAATACATTCTCAGGTGGTCAGATCTTACCTGCAAGGGAGTTTAGAGAACAGCCCACAATTAATATGTATTGGAGCCCTGAAAAAACTTTGCAACCATCCCTGGCTTCTCTTCAAAACAATAAAGGTTTGTATTGCATATGGTTTCCTTGCAGATTTGTCGACAACCTTTTGGAAAAGGAATTTTATGTCTTTTAGACCCCCCCCCCCCAAATTCAAATCAACTAAGTTCTTCTGCAAAATCCATGTTATTCTGCAGCAGCCAACATATCCAGATAGCCAAAAATAATGGACCCATGTAAAAACAATTGACTGTATTAAAGAATTAGTAATATAACAATGTAAATGATCACAGAAGTACATAGAGCATTTCATGCTATGCAATACATATACGGAAGAGTATATATAAATATAATCATGGCAGTGCAATATGTATATTGTAGAACAAATGTCATATGGAACAATGGATATACATATACTGAACTAATGTGCCTGATGAGTTCCCCAGGCTCTTGACACATTTTACACAGGTAACTTCCTCAGATATCCATGCTCAGGAATTAGTTATTCCACTTTGTGAAGAGAGTATTAGTGATATTCACTTCAGACATGTGATCAAACCGGTCTCAATGTTTGCCAGTGTGAGGCATCCATCTGGCAACCTTCTTTTGCAAAGAATGAAAGGCAGCATAACGATGCAGTCTTGTGGGGCAGAAGTTTTTGTGGGCCCATTTTTAATTGGATTGGGGTTACCAGTAACCTGGAGAAAAAATGTCTTGCCCCTTTGACAGAGACTTAATGGAACATTATTTATCAGGTGATGTTATTTTCTGCTGTGCCATGAAAAGCTTCAGCTGCCTATTTCTACCCACTGGGCTTTCGTGAAAAGGGTGATTCATTTTTTTCTCCCAGGTTGTTGACAACACTATGCTGGATGCAGGAAGTGACTAAAGAGAGCAACTGCACCATTTGAAAGCTTCAGAAAGCTCAACTTTGGGAATCGAGAAAATGACATGCTAATATCAGTTCAGTTCCCTGCAAGCTTTATGATCTGATCTGATTTGTGCCCTTGGTTTTGCTCTTTCCCCCCTACTCCTCCCCCCCCTCTGTTTCCTCTCAAATTCTTGAATAAAGGACATCCTGAGATGTCAATATTAGTTTATCAGGGCCTTGTACAAAGGAGTATTTTCTCACTGTGCTATACTACCAGTAATAACCAAGATTCCTTTAGAGCCGTGTCTCTAATGTGGTGCTCGAGGGTGCCATGGTGCTCTCCAAAGTGTTTTTGTCACCTACTTTCTCTCTCTCTCAAACCATCTGTTCCCCAAAGCAAAGAGCCAGTCCCCCCCCCCTTCACTGGAGCAGGAGATGCTTCCAGAAAGTACCACTTTTTTGTCTGTAGGGAGCCCTCTCTGAGGAAAAGCTGCTTCCATTGTATGAGGATGTTTGTCCTGGAGAGCTGACAACAGGCCATAGAGTTCATGGCTCCTGACGTTGCCTCTTGGCACTGGTATTTGGAGGTTTACAGTCTCTGAATGTAGAGGTTTCCTTTAGTCACCACGGCTAGTAGCCATTGATGGACCTATCCTCAGTGAAACCCTCCTTTAAAACTGAGGAATGTGTCTGTATTTTATACTGTTTGCAACTGAAGAAATGTTGTGAATGCACAAAGCTGCATTGTGCTGAGTCAGACCTTTGGTCTGTCAAGGTCAGTATCATCAGCTCTTAACTGGCAGTGGCTCTCCATGGTCTTTCATATCACCTACCACCAGATCCTTTTAACTGGAGATGCTCTGTCACTGAGTCGACCTTTCTTTCCTCACTGATTTTTCTGTCCAGGAACCCCTGCATATGAAGTAATTTGCATGGACTCAGACCATTGGTCCATCTAGGCTAGAGTTTTCTCATCTTGAAAAGCTTCTGCCAGTTAGGTCTCGGTCTGGGGTTGTTCCAACAGATCCCTGCGATCATTAGCGGAGATACCAGTGGTTGAACCTGGGTCCCTCTCCATGCCAAGTCTCTGTTCTGTTTTTCAGTTTGTACACAATGGCAAAATTTGGTTTGATGTGAAAGTGGAAGTAACAATTTTTTTTGCCCTGTGTACATGACAGGAGGGGTGGAGTTCATTCGAGCAAGTCTGAAGTTCAGTTTTGCTTGCCCTGATATCTTAAATCGTGGTCAGACGTCCCAGAAAAAAACAGGGGCGGGGGGGGGCGGAGTGAGGCTGTTTCCTCCAGAGGAATTTGACCCGCAGTTGCACGATCACAACTCCCTTTGAAGCTGTGGGCGCAGTCCGTCAGAGTGTGGTCAGACGTGACTGTGGGTGAGTCTATTTTGTGTGTTCCGTTTTCCCCCCATGTGCTTAACCGAGGGATAGATGAATCGCACCTTTGCACTGAGGGCTCCCTATGGAGTTTGCGATGATGCACATACTGAGAGGGGAGGAAAAAAGAATGGCATGGAGTTGGGATGGCCTAATCAAACCATCCCAACTCCATGAGAGCGCGCTGGAGCGATCAGACACAGGAAAGTCCGTCCGTGGCCCATCGCAACCCATTAACTACTGGATTTCCCCCGGTGTCTTTTAACTCCACTTCTGCGGCAGAGCAGAATGGGTTGCCAATGCTGTGGGGCGCTTCCCAGATGTTGTTGTCTGATCACGCCCTTTAAATCCGCCTGGCATTCGCATCTCTGTCAGGTCTAATTGTGCATATGATCACAGCCTTAGCTATGCCTTTGTGCCTTGCACAATAGGTGGAAATCTGCAAATGGCCCTTTCCCCATCACTGCATCTTTATGCCAGGAAAGGGCTCACCTGCTGACTCTTGTCCATCATGCAGCTGTTTAAAGGCACAGAGCCTCCTTTTGAACCTGCATTTGGTTGGTTTTATTTTAGATCCAGTGACTTTATTTTCTCTTGATTTTAGAACAGGTGTGTATCTCCTTGCCATAAGGTGATGCCTGAACTGACTCACAGAAATACAGATGCCCGTGTAAGACTAGCCTTCAAGTGGTTCTTTCCTTAATCGTTTTGCTGTATTCACAGTTTTTGTCTGTATCACTGTTCTACCCAGGGCAGGCCTGGTTAAATCATTTACAGCTCCTATGCATATTTTAGGAAAGGCTTGTGGCTATCACATTTGGAATCTTTTAAAATCTTAATAAGAGCCACCCAACTTTTCCTTGCTTTTAATAGGAGAAAGACTGTAACCCAAATTGTGATGAACAAGAAAAACTGAATCTCTACGGGGGTCTGCTGGACATTTTTTCTCAAGAATATACCCTGGCTTCTTTCTTGGAAACAGACTCAGGAAAATTGCAGGTTCTGACACAGCTGCTGGCTGCCATTCACAAACAAAGCCCTTCAGAAAGGTAGGAGAGAGGTTTTCTCAGCTTCCCTGGGAATGTGGCTGACTCTTTGGACTTGAGACACTTTCTTTCAGCTTATCATTGAGACGTTCCTGAGTGCCAGTGTCCAGTTTGCATGGCAGAGGAGGGATGAGAGCCCCATCATGCTGGCAAAATCTAGTGTGTTGGTCAAGTGCTCCACTCAAAAGCTTGATGGCACAACTTCATATTGTGTGTGTGTGTGTGTGTGTGATTGACCCTTGAAAACAAGATCACACAAATCAGTCCTCTGCGCAATCAGGCATTCATACAAAACTCTTGGTATGAACAGCAGCATAAAACGTTTCCATGTCATGCCATCTTGTTCTCAACATTTGAAGACCCTCCCCTCTTCTGTTTTTATCATCTTGCTGGATAAAAGAGGTGTTCAGATGTTGAGGACAAAATGGCGTCAGATGGAAGCACCCTATGCCTGATTGCTCAGAGGAGCACTTTGTATGATCTCTCCCCCCTTTTGCACATCATTCTGGTGAAAATGTCTCAGCTTTCTCAGACTTACAACCATTATTTTTCACTGTTTATAACAGCATTTACCAAGGTTAAATTCAACTGTTGGCTTTTAAGACCTTGGTAGATTCATAACAGTTGTGGTACATACCGTCTACTCATGTGCCCCGTCCCATGTGTATTGAGGACACTGGCCCTGCCTCCTGTTCATGACTAAATTATTTGTATATAAGGCCCTGCTCCTTATTCACCTCTTGTGTGCACAGTGTCTCTGTGTGTAGAATCCATCCCGTGTTTGGAAACTTTGGGAAAGCAGTATGCCCCAGCACAGGGACAGTTAGTGTGTGTGTACACAGTTCACTTGCTGGTAGGCACTGCGCTCATGTGAGGTGATGACATTGTACACGGAGGGGGGCAATATGTACAGTTGTGATCTTGGAGTGGAGACCAGCCTAGACCAAGAGCAGCGCTAATGTGCTTGGTTGCAAGGAGAGGGCTAAGCTAGCTTCTCCCATATGTCATGTATACATGGCGACAGTCACCTGATCAGCCACAATCCTCTGGTCTAATCCTGTCTAGAGGGTTATTCACTCTGTGCCCTATAACTTCTTGGTCTTGATGTATTTTCCCCCCCCCCCCCCCCCCCCCCCGTGTGTTATAAACACGAGAACACTCAATACAAAATGATAACCACAAATAAAGGTCAACAGTGTTATAGGTCATTATTCCTCAAAAAATAATTCTTGTAATCTCTATAATTTTCATAGTCAGGTGGTTTTATATATGTGGCATTCTGCAATGATATATACAATATAAATAAATAAAAATGGTTGAACATTGTCCTGAAGTGTAAGGGCTTTTTTTCTGGGAGAATGCGGCAGAGCGGAGTTCCGGAACCTCTTCAACAACATTCTTTTTAAAATGTTTTAAGAGTTCATGAGTTTTCAGTATACAGATTGAAAATTTAATTTCCCCCTTGAGAGTTTTGGCACCTCTTTCCCCCAAAAAAGCCCTGTATTCTTGTATTTGCCATTTCTAACTTGGTATCATCTGCATAGTCCTTCAGCATACAGTTACTATTCCTTGCAAGTCCCTAACAAAAAAACATGGAAGGAAATATGCCCTGAGAATGATATGTAACTTGTTAATCAGTTGTTTCTCTTGATATGAAACTTGCTTGGAAAGCAGAGATGTAATATCATAGAGCTCCTACTGTTGTTGTTGTTGGTTATTGTAGCAAAGTTGATTTTCAGCTTAAATTTTGCTAACTCCAGGCACACCTCTTGATACACACTGGTGGTCTTCCTGTTCATATACTTGGAGCTTGTGCTCAGTAAACATGGTGGACCCTCATCCGCCAGTAACAAGTCATTTGTATTCTGGTTTGATAGAGTCGTTGTGGTATCTAATTACACCCAGATGCTAAATGTGTTGCAAGAGGTTTGCAAACGTCATGGCTATTCCTACACAAGACTTGATGGCAACACTCCCGTCTCCCAGCGACAACAAATCGTTGATGGTTTTAATAGCAGATTTTGTCCAGCATTTGTCTTTCTACTGAGTTCAAAGGCAGGCGGTGTGGGCCTGAACCTCGTTGGAGCATCCCACTTAATTCTGTATGATATTGACTGGAATCCAGCCACTGATATTCAGGTATGTTGCAAATGTTTATATCTGGACAGAAATGTCATTCTTAATATGCAGTGATGCCTTAACAATACCAATACTTTTTCAAAGCTTTGTTGTGATCTGAGGTTCCTATTTTATATGCAGATCTGTGGAATGGGTAAGCTGCATGCTGTGCTAAAGATGAATACAGATGCATCTAGCTTGTTCTGTTGCAAGGTTTCTCTCATATGCATCCTCTGAAATTGCAAATATGATGCTCAATGTCTAGTTTAAAGAGGCAATAGCAGTTCAAAGGTGGTTTTTTAAGAACAATTGGAAACCATAGTTTGCCACACTGGATGTAATGGCAAACTGTGGTTTGCCTACAAACATGGAGGGTGTGAGGGAATCCTGATACACAATGGGAGGCTGGAATATGCACATACAAGGCTCATACTGACAGATATGTTTAGATCAGGAGTCCCCATCTTCTGAGTATGTCGGGACCTTTGGAATTCTGACACAGGATGGTAAGCACAACTGCAAAATGGCTGCCACGGGAGACAATGTCAGTGGCAAAATGACTGCCATGGGAGGCGGAGCCAACCACAAATAACAGGGAGTGAGGTTATGCAGAATCCTTCAATATTTAGGTCAGAAGCTCTGCTTAACAGGATGTCTTTTACAAATGAACATATTATTTTAAAGTATTTTCTTGCATATGTGTAGCTTACTTTCAGTCACATACAATGTTCCCTCTAAGGCATGCAGTCTCTTGAGCAGAAATTTTACCCCGTGAGCCAAAAGTGGTGCTGGCTTTAAAACTGTGAGCAGGCTAACATTTTTTAAAAAAACGTTATTTCAGTGTACAAACATACAAAACATACAGACATAACATATCTACTATTATCATTTGTATTGCAAACCATATATTTATATTAAACCTATTTATATTTATATGGAACATACTATATGACTCTTTCAAACTATATTTTAGAAATGATTTCTACATCATAGCCATGAACAGTATCAAGTTAGCTAAGTCATCCTAGCCTCATGCCTTAGCCTTAACTGAGAATCCTGGAATTTACAGAGCTGTTCTGAACTGAAATTGTGCAGGAGCATTTAGCAGATTGGAAAAAACCACAGGAAAAATATAAGGTGCATTACTGCTTTTTCCTAAAGCTTGACTCGGAGGAGGGAGAAACTTGCCCATGGCCTGCGGTCCTGCACGGATCCTGGCCTGGGTGCTCCAGCCAGGGCAGGTGCCAGGTTTTTTTGTGCACTAGGTGAGGCTACCTTCTGGCACCCCCCGCCCCCCGTGCGCCCACCAATTTTCAAACTAGGAAGAATGAAAAACACAAAATTTGAAATCGTTAATTTCTTTTTTTTTAATTGTGAGAACAAGTAATACAATATCTGATTTTCCCCAACTCACTGGTGTGTGCTTCTAAACCCTGTCCTTCTAAGCCAGTTTGGTGCAGTGGTTAAGAGCGGTGGACTCTAATCTGAGAACTGGGTTTAATTCCCCACTCCTCCATATGCATCCAGCTGGGTGGCCTTGGGCCAGTCACAGCTCTGTCACAGCAGTTCTCTCAGAGGCCTCTCAGTCCCACAGGGTGTCTGTTGTGGGGAGAGGAAGGAAAGGAGATTGTAAGCTGCTCTGAGACTCCAAGTCTGAATAAAGAAGATGCGTAATACTTGGGAGGTTGGATGGCTTGGCCCTGACTTGATCATCAGAGAGGCTGTTGAACTGGGCTTGTTCCTGGGCCATTTAGACTATCCAGTCAGCCTGCTTCTCTTATACACAGAGAAGTCACCCACAGGCACACACAAAAGGGGTTTCTTTTTGTGAGAAACAGCCAGAACTGTCAGGAGGCCCTCTTCTGAAAGTCTTCTGACTTCTTCCCACAGGGAGAAAATGTCTGCATACCCCCCCAAACCCCAGTTAGGGATGCCACCCTCCAGATGGGACCTGGGGACCTCTTGGAATTACGCCTCATTTTGACTACAGAGATTAGTTCCCCTGGAGAAAATGAATGCTTTGGAGAGGGGGCTCTATGACATTGTGCCCCACCTGAGGTCCCTGTCCATCCCAGGCTCCATCCCCAAATCTCCAGGAGTTTCCCAACTTGAAGTTGGCAACCCTCCTCCCCCATCCCCTTCTGGTGGCCAGGGGGGACCTGGCAACCATATGCCCAGTATTACACAGGGCAGAGCGGTGAGAAGACCAAGCCGGTCTCTGAATGGGTTATTGCATTGTTTTCCTGGTGCCCTGTCGCTTTAAATATAGAAATGAACCCAGATCTGCACTCCCATTTAAAGTAAAGCCAGGCCACCCACCCAGGGTCCAGCACGGCCAGGGAACAAAGCGGGTAGCCACCAGGATCCCGGCTTCTTCTGTGCACTCAACCGCCAGCGCCAGGAACCAGCAAGGGGCTTCTTGCTGCTGCGGCGGTGGCGAGTGCGCCCTGCCGGAGGCAGCCTCGCACTAAAGGGACGCAGGAGGGCGGGGAGAGGAGAGGAGGTGAGCTAGGCAGCAGAGGGATGGGAGCTGCTCATGGGTGAGTGGCGCAAGGGGGCTCTCTGTGTGGCGGTGTGTCTCTTCCTGCCCAGGTGAGAGCGGGAGAGGGAAGGATGGACGCACAGGTGCCCCATTCTCTCCCCCACCTCTCCTCATCTCCTTTTGCTCGCCCGCCCACAGTGCTGCGAAGATGTACCTTGGCCTGGGCCTGCATTGCCATTGGGAAGGGAACCTCCCGCCCCTGTGCTGTGAAAAAAATTGCTGCGCTGATCGGGGGAAATTGGTGCGCCAGCACAGCCTGGCGCAGCTAAAACGGAACCTAGGTCACATAGTAAATATCCTTGTGCTGCAATGGCAGCTGCTGCCAAAGCAATTTAAAAAAATCTGCATAGCCAATCAGAAGTTCTGCTGGTCAAAAGACCATTAGCCCCACCCATTTTCCAAAGACATTTGGCAGGTGTCAAGAAAGGTGTCAGTGGGCTCATGGCACCCACGGGGACCACTTGGGGAACCCTGGCTTAGATCAATCCATATTATATAATATATGTTATTACCTGAATTCTCTTAAATTGCTTTTTAAGCCACTTGTAGTTTAATAATCTAGATTAAGGGAAATACATATGAACCTTGCCACATTTCACAAAGTCCATGGTATAATCTCAGTGCATATACCGGGCCTCTGAAACTGGCTCACATGCTTCAGGGTTAAGGATGTTCTAACTAGGGATGGGCATGAACCACAGAAATCGAGGTCCCTTTTGGTTTGTGATTCGTGGGGCCATATGAACCTTGACGGACCTCCCCATTTACCAAACTGATGCAGTAGAACAGCCCCCCTGTGGACTAGAGATGCTGTGGGAGGAGAACCACATGCAGATCCTGGGGTCATCTTCTCTTGCTCTGGAGCGGTTTAAAGTGCGCCACGGGAGTAGAAGCCGTGGCAGCCAGGATTTGCCTGTGGCCGGGAGAGCCCTCCCTGCTGCACGCAGATCCTGGGGTAAGCTTCTCCTCCTGTGGCATGGTTTAAAGAGCACCACAGGAGAAGTAGCCATGGCAGCCAGGATCTGCCTGTGGCTGGGAGAGCTGTCCCGCCACACTCAGATCCTGGGATCGCCTTTCTCCTGGCTGTGGCGAGCCATGGCCAGGGAAAAGTGGGGAGGGGATCTCCCAGGAAGGGTCTCCCTTTCTCCAGGCTGCAGTGAGCCTCAGCCAGGAGAAAGTGGAGGTAACTCCTGGAAGGTATTCCCTTCCACCGTTCTCCTGGCTCCAGAGGCGTTTCACCCTCAGCTCGGGCTGCCTGGCACAGCCCTTTTAAACAGGCTGCACAAGGGAGCCCAAGAGTGCCTCTTTAAATGGGTTGCACAAGCAAGCCCAAGACAACTGGGCCAGCAAGTGCCTTCCAGGGGGCACTTCACCCCCACCTTTCTGCTGGCTGTGGCTTGGATAGGAAGGGGTTAAGTGCCTCCCAGGGGGCATTTCACTCTCTCCTTTCTACTGGCTGCAGCCCGCAAACAGGAGGGGGTGAAATGCCCCCCTGGAGGCACTTCACCCTTTCCTTTTTGCTTGCCGGGGAAAGCCATGGCCAGCAGAAAGGAAGGGGTGAAATGCCCTTGGGAGGCACTTCACCCCATATTTAACCTTCTGGTTTTGCTCCACTCCCCTGCTTCGAAGCGGTGGGGAGAACCAGAGGGTTTAAAAGGCTCCACCATGGCAGCCAAGATCTGCCTGTGGCTAGGAGAGCCCTCCCCGCTGTATGCAGATCTTGGGATCGGGGGGGGGGGAGTCCCCCTCATTGCTTTGACGATTAATTGATCGGTGCCAAAGTGTCTGCCATATGAACCTCCATAAAAACAGTGGAGGTTCATTGGAGGTTTGTTGCGGGCACGATCACAGGACCCTCAGCTCATGAACCTGGCTTTTTTGGTTCGTGACAAGGTTTGTGCCCATCCCTAGTCCTGACACTGAAATGCTACTTGCACAGAGTTCCTTGTGCTGTCTGGGGTACCCCCCTCTCTCTCTCATGAACTAAGCACCCTGGCAGTTTGATTAGCAGAAATCAGTTTTAGTTTAGATGTGTATATATCTAGGATTGTGCATGTGAATGCCACAATTTCGAGTTAACGCCAATAAAAGCACAGAATGTGGTCACAGCTGCTGAATCCAGCTACCTGAGAGTTTCTGCTTTCGTTTTTAAACAAAGGCAAGTTTCTGCTCCCTTACAGTTGCAAAGATGTTCCTTCCTGGGCAAAGTGCTGGTCTTAACCTTTAAAAAGCCTTTAAGAGCACACTGCCCAGAATAGCATGGGGGAATGCAAATCCCCAGATGATGCTGAATTGTGTGGGCATTTATAGGGTGATGGTTGGAAGCCAGAGGAGTTGCCAAATAAGATTCCCAGTGGTGGCTTCAGGGCCCTCCGTAGCACCTTTCCCTTCCCGTGGCAGAATAAATGAAGCAAAATAGCACAGGTTATGCTCATTAGCCAAATTTATTCAGGGCATTGAGTTCAACCTTCTTGGTGCAGAATCACTATGTTCTTGTCCACAGCCCATATATATCTGCATATTCAGTAGCCTTTCAAAGATCTTTACTTGTCTCACTGTCTTTCAGGCAATGGCCAGAGTTTGGAGAGATGGACAGAGGCATACAGTACATATCTACAGACTTCTGACTACAGGTCTGCCATGTTATAATTATAAATGCTACTCAGATTTGGTTACTACAAAACGCAGGCTGGAAGCAAACTAAACAGAAAATATCTTTGTATCTGGCTATTACAGAATGTTGGATCAAGGTTTCCAGATCTGAGTTAATATGCATGTTTTCAATGCAGGTACAATTGAAGAGAAAATCTATCAGAGGCAGATCAGCAAACAAGGTCTGTCTGGGGCTGTTGTAGACTTCTCCAAGGGATCCGAACACATCCGTTTTTCTGTTGAAGAACTTAGAAACCTCTTTATACTGCATGAGGATTCCGAGTGTGTTACCCATGATCTGCTGGAATGTAAATGCATGGGAAAGAAAGATGATCAAGGTGAGTCTTAGTTCATATCTGGGTCCTTTCAAACATGGTACACAATTCAGATCACACTGGCTGAGAGATGCAGAGCATGAGGAGCAAAGTTTCCTTCTCTATCTAGTTCTGTGAGAACAGCTGCATAAAAGTCCCTTTCAAGTATGCTAAGGAAGCCATGCTCACTGCTGTTTGGTGGCCCGCATAGGAAGCGATCCTCTGTATTCTCACTTAGTCACACACACCCCTACCTTGAGCAGTTGGGAACTTTCACATTGTCTTACATCTTCCTGTCTGAATCTCTGTATTACTCTTGGTTCAAAATTGTACTAGGTTTTTGTTGCTGGTGTTTCTGTTGATTTTCCTCATTGGCTTCTTCTGGGATTTTTTCCCCCCCAGGACTTTCAGAAGAGCTATCTGTGCAGGAAGACGGCCAGCTTGGCCAAAGCAATGGGAAACCCCACTCCCAGAAAACCCTGTCTATGTCACAGCTGATGCAGTGGAAACACTTGTCTGGGGAGCAGGAGAATCTACCCGGTCCCTTCCTCAAAAGGATGAAAGGAAATATCACATTCATTTTCCAAAATGTGACCAATTGAGAGATGCCACCTAAAAAGGGCAAGTTAGTGCAATATGAAATAATAGGATTGCCAAGGATTGTTAGGAGCATTTAATAGGTTAATGTTTTTTTATTCCTAAATAAATTATGATTGGGAGAAAAAAATCTCGTCGATTACTTACGTTGACAATCTTCTGCCATGTCGCCCTGGAAGCTGACCCCTTCCAAGAGTCTCCTTTCCATTGGGACCAGAAGGGCATTTCATATAATAATGTGCGCTGTTGTGTTACCTGGGAAGATGAAATGCTTCCCCCAGACAGTACAGCCATACCAGTGTGATTGTCATGTGCAGTGTTCTGCCTGTCTCATATGCATCTTTGGTATTGCCAAATGTCATCGCTCTCTACACTGTGAAGGATTTTGCTGTTAATTTTAGAAAATTTCAGTGTCTCTTATTAGAACCACTGCTGTGCAGCCACAGTGCTTAATGTGTTAATATCACATAATCTGCCGCATGTATCATTTGGTCCCACTGCTGTCATGGCTAACCATAGTATGCATTTTCAGTATGTGTCCATAGGGATGCAGGTTCAAATTCTACCTTTTTCATGAGGTTGTGCCAGGATAATTTAAGAAATGTTGCAGGAGTGTTCTTCAGCTCAGTGGAAGAGCTTCCTTTTGCCCTGTAGGACCCCTAGTTTGATCCCCAGCAGCTCCTGTTCGAAGTAAGTAGAGTCCTGAAAGATCCCATCCCTGCCTGAGATCTTGGAGAGTTACCGTCAGAGTCAATAACCATGGGTTGACTGAGCCAAAGGTCAGATACAATATAAGGCTGTTTCGTATTACCATACCCCCATTTCCATGTAGTGGGAGAAGAGATTTTTGAAAACGCTTTGGTATGACGATATTCGTTGCTTTCTCTGGAAACAGTTTTCTAAGACCACGTCTCTTTTTGCCACATTTGAGGCCGTGGGTCTCCTAGAATTCACAATAACCTGAGCCAGATACAACAGAAGTAAAAGAAGAAGAGAAGAGAAGAGATTGGATTTCTAGAGCAGCTTACAAACTCCTTTCCCTTCCCCTCCCCACAACAGACACCCTGTGAGGTGGGTGGGGCTGAGAGAATTCTGACACAAACTGTCTAACCATCTCATCCTTTGCCATCCCCTTCTTCTTTTACCTTCAACTTTTCCCAGCACCAGGGTCTTCTCCAGGGAGTGCTCCCTTCTCATTTGGTAGCCAAAGTATTTGAGCTTCAGCTTCAGTATCTGGCCTTCCAAGAAATAGTCAGGGTTGATTTCTTTTAAGATTGACTGATTTCATCTCCTTGCAGTCCAAGACACCACCTTGTGTCAGAATTCGTAAGTGTCCCAAAAAGGTTGGGGGACCCCTGTGTTTTACAGTGCATATGTGCCATAACTGCAAGCAGAAGGCATAGACGATCTCCTATATACACTTGGGCTTAGATTCTAAATTTTTCTACTTACGGAAGGCATTTTCACCTGCAGAAGGGGCAACTTTCTGCCATTTCCCCTTCCCACTGAAGCATCTGGGCACTGCGGCACAGTTTCAGCTGCTGCAGGAAGTGGGAAAAGTTAAATAGCTAGTTTAGATCAGTTTTAGTCATTTCTATATGAAAACATGAAAATGTTTTGGCACATTATGTTGCCATTACTCTAACCATATGTATACCGAAAGAGGTAGTGCTCAGCTGAGTTTGCTTCTATACATTACTTATCAGAGTTAATTCTCAATAAGACTGAAGCAATTTCGCTTTTCCCCAGAGCAACCTGATGGTGGCAGCAGCAGATCATAGGATGCAATACAGCTGGCGCGAAAATGCCCAGGAGTTGTAACAAGCCTTGCAGACCTGTCTGACTTCAAAACTATATTAACATGTGTCAACTAATCTCTTCAAGGTGGGGCTCATGACCATCAGCCCCCTTAGTTTTATTCGTTCGCCTGGTTTCTTATTCCTTATTTGCTGCTGCCTTTACAAAAAGCAGAATTGTCTTGCAAGGCTAGACAACATTACCATGATATGAGCATATATAATGAAAAGTTTATGCCACAATAAAGTCTTTAAGGTGCTCCAAGACTCTTGGTTGTTATCACACTGAAAGGATTTCACAACAGCCAACAGGATTTGTCTCAGTACACTCTGTGATTGTCTGTTTTAAAAACCAGGAGATGGCTGACTAGTTTTGGACTGTGGGCCAGACGCATCCTCTAAAGTAATTTTTTTGGCTTCTGGTGGCTCTGCCAAAAACATTTTCAAGCTGTAAGATACAGAGTCTCCATTTTCATGTTACCTCTTTTGGATTCTGTTTATTCCACATATATGAAGATATTTATACATATCGCCTCAGACCATGCATTTTTAAAGGTGGAAGGGCGTTTCCATTGGTGGGAGAGCACTTTTATTCACACACCCATTGTGGACCCACACTCTAAGCTGTTTGTGAGGGTCTCCTGACCCCCCTCCCCCCCCAGAACAGAATTTGGGTGGACTTAGAAGAAGAAGAAGAAGAGATTGGATTTATAGCCTGCCCTTCACTTGGAGTCTCAGAGCGGCTTACAAACTCCTTTCCCTTCCCCTCCCCACAACAGACACCCTGTGAGGTGGGTGGGGCTGAGAGAACTCTGACACAACCTGCTCTGACACAACCCAAGGTCACATCAGCAGGTGCAAGTGGAGGAGTGGGGACTCAAACCCGGTTCTCCCAGATTAGAGTCCGCGCACTTAACCACTACACCAAACTGGCTCTCAACACCAAACTGGCTCTTACTGGGCTGTAGAAGGAGGGAGAGGCAGGCAAGTCCCGCTCTGTAAGGTCCATTCCATTTGTAGATATTGTAGGATCCAAGCTGGTGGTTTGCCTCAGCACAAGCTTACAGGATGCTTACTCCTGGATGGTGCCTACATGATTATGAAGCTGACCCTGCCGGCTTCTGGAACACTGGACAGGATCCTAAGACCTGCGAATCCAGCTTCATTCCAGGAATGGCTCTTTCCTGTCTCCTTCCTGCAGCAACTGGCACTCCCACCCCAGCAGCTTTGCCTGAGGGATGCCCTGGAAGGCTGCGTCTCAAGGGTAAGTTAATAAAAGTGGCAGGGTTTTTTCCCCCCTTCCCCCTTGCACAAACGTTTCACTTACGTAAGGACTGTTTTGGATCCAGCCCACTGCCTGGAGAACAGAGTGGCCCATACGCCTTCAGAGGCTGGTCATCCCTATTAGAAAGAATGGGACTCTCCAGTACTTTACACATTTATTTATTTAATTTGCTTTATATCCCGCCCTATCCTGCAAGCGGGCTCAGGGCAGGTAACAATATACAGGTTAACAACCATAAAAGCATTTAACGTAAAAACTAAGACAAGTTTAAATGAACAGGTAACAGCAACGATGGCAACAAGACAGAGAATTCAAACGCCTCCTGCAGCTGACAGTCTTTTAGCGGGGCCAGTTTGGACGAAACACCGTGACAAAGACTGTGCACAGGGGAGGCCAGAATGGATTGGACATCCGCCACCTCAACCAAAGGCCTGGCGGAACAGCTCCATTTTGCAGGCCCTGTGGAACTGTGATAGATCCCGCAGGGCCCTGATCTCAGGTGGGAGCATGTCCCACCAGGCTGGGGCCAGGGCAGAAAAGGCCCTGACCCTGGTTGAGGCTAAGCGGACGTCTTTCAGTTTGGGAGACTACCAGGAGATGTTGGTCTGCAGAGTGTAAGGCTCTATGGGGCACATACAGGGAGAGACGGTCCCATAGGTATGCATTCCAGCGGGTATCGTGAAGACGGCCTCTCTCCAAGCGCCACGCTCTGTCCCTGATCATGGAGGAAGGAGGAAAGCCATTGTAAAGCAGTCCCCTGTATCCCAGAGTCAGCGAGGCGGTGGATCAGAAGATCATAATCGACCATGTCAAATGCTGCCGTTAAATCAAGAAGCAACAGCAGCGCTGACCTGCCTCCATCCTGCTGTCTCCGGAGGGCATCTGTGAGGGCTACCAACATGGTCATTCTCAACCTGGTCTCTTTTTGTGGTCCCAATATACCTTAAGTGTCTATGCAGAAAATCTCTGAAGTGTTCCTAACCTCCAGTTCTACCTTCTAAGCGGCCAAAACATATCATTTCACCCTAGTTAGTTTTAAATGCCCTGGCTCCCTCATTTTCTTAATTGTATGCAAAGTGCTGCAGATGAATGATGCAACATGATATATCTATGCCCCAAAGATTTCCTCACAGGCCAAGAAGATGAAACGTTAATAGTTCCTCTTGTTTAGAAAACTGTTTCTCTAATGGATGGAAGAGAACCTAGGCACGCTTAAACCTAAACTGTATATATCTCCTGTTCACACACTAATACTCATCCCTAGCCAAGCATAAAAACCACAAGCTCACATGCTTCAGAGCATGCTTTGAGCTCTCACTGAACATCATTGTTATCTGCTGTTATAAAAATATTTCCAGACTTCGAGCATGAGCAAAGGAGTGGCAAATGTGCCCTTTGGTGACAATGCAACTTTCCCTCCTCCACCACCACTGGCTGTCCACTCAAGCCATCCTATCTGCACGCAGCGTCCCTCTAAGGGTTACCGTCCAGCCAGGGAATGTTAAACTATTACTTGGCAGGGACTGTCATGGTGGTGTTAGGGAGGTAAATAATGTTTCCTTTCAAGTCGTTGAAGCGCATGAAAACAAAATGATGACTCTCATTGGATGTGGTGATTCAAATGTACACTCATTTGACCCTTGGAAATAAGTGCTCTTCAGAATAACAGCCGCTGGTTGCCAGGCGGCAGCACCCATCATTTATGAACGAAAAGAGAGAATGCTGTGTCCTCCACTTGCTGTCAGTACCATTACAACGTGGGGAATTCCAGGCAGGAATCTGCACACAGCCTTTTGAGATTTTTATGGTCATGATGAAAGAGGTATAAATAAGCCCATCCCTGGTGAGTTCATGCAACCAGCATGTGTTTTCCAAGAGCAAGGAATGGTAAGCCATTTTTCTTCCAGGCCAGTCAAAATGACTG